CGTGAGACAAACGATAATACACTTTATTATTGCATCTACCACGATGAATAACAACAACCTTTCCTCGACAATACATTTTTGGATGGAAAAATTCTTTTGCTTTTCCACCATAAGACTGCGCTTTGCTGCATATTGATTTTCTTTCACGTTAAGATGAAATAACCGCGTTTAGATCAAACTCAGAAGCGATGCGTTTCAGAAAATCCTTTTCGAGATCCTTTTGAAGCGGGAAACCAACTTAATGCAAGCGTGCTCAGCCAATCAGCATCAACTAATCCTGCCCTATTGATTCTTTTGATTACCAAAAGTGCCCTCCGTCTCAGCCAATCAGCATTCAGTAATTTTGCCCCGAAGCCCTGGCCAAACGGTCTCGCAAGTAGCCGCAAGTTGAAAACTTGGGTCTACTCATGACTGTTTGGCCAGGCCTTGTGTTCACTTCCTTCATGGCCTCTGGAGCCCGTTTCTCGAAAGCCCCGGAAACTTTTCGGGCCCGTAAAGCTATTTTTAGTTCATCTGTATCTAAAAACGGAAAGTGTATACGCCTGAAACTTCTTGTATGAATGGAACCTCTGTTCATATTAAGAATACGTGAATAAAACAGATTTGTAATCATAATATTCGACATTTTGCCATGGCTTTTCGGGTGCGAAAACATTTCGGAACCTTTGAGAAACTACGTTTGTAATTCCTCTTCATTGTTAGCAGCTGTTATTGTTTTAGGGGTGAGGGGATTGTTTCTGTTGTTTGTTCTACTGTACCCTCAAAGGGTATCAAACCATCCATGTGAGACCTTACCCTTTGGTCCAGTCTGAACCCGGGCATTCAATATCGGGAGGCCTAGTAACAAGTATCCTTTGAGCGGGAAAACATGGCCGCGAAGCGGTAAAGAAGAGTGTCAACACGATCTTAGCGGCTCTGCATCGTGCTTGGTGACTTTCTCTATATCGAAATACTCGTATATTTCATCTGCTTCTGATATGGATCCTTCAGAAGTGGAATTTCTGGCCGAAAAGGAGAAGATATCTATCCTAACGAACTTCTCAGAGAACAAGTTATATTTGATAGGGGTACGTAAGGTTTGCATTGGCCATAACTAAACAAATATTATACAGGGGCGAGGGCCACTTTTATCTATAAGTATAACGTGGTATGAAACTATAAAAACTACGATCGAACTTGTACAAGAATAAAGTGATATGTTACAGTTCAGAGTTGATATACAGATTTTGAAGTTTGAATAATTAAGATTACTATTTTTACAGGGGGACACAGGGCCACTGAATGCATCATTGCCCACAGAGGTGCCTCTGTGGGTCGCAATATTTCTGAAACAGCGAAGGAAGTGCAGAATCCAGCCTCCTGACTGGATGGATGTCGGTAAGATTATACAGAGGTATCCATTAGCAATCATTCTGCTTTATGTAATCAGACAGGTCTAAAACAAGGGTGAGTGATGGAAGGTGAGCTCTGCTTAGCCTGAATAACGCTCAGGTTAGCCTGTTTCATCTCCCAATATCAGGGACCTTACCAATATACGACGATGATGGCTAGGACAACACCTATTGAAAAGTGTGTTTATATTTTACTTTGGAATTTCGCATTTATTTACATGTGTAGATCCATTTAGTGTGTTTGTCAGTATTAATACTTGCCTCTGCGGAATATGCTATGAATGCATTCAGTTCCAAATAGGAATTACCAGTATATGAAAAATTAGCCGTAGTGGGCCCCATTGTCAAAAAACTTGGAAATTGGTCATTTTACATAGTTGATTTGCAGAGGACGGCAAAGAAATGTACCAAGAATTATAATGCATGTGCACAGCCATTGTT